GTAATACAAAGGCACAAATAAAAAGCACAAAAGATTGATTGGTATTATTAATTTATGTCTTATGTCAAGAGATTTTCACTTCTTCATTACGTATGGTACTTTATTGTAGTACTGAAATAGCTGCTTTGATTTAAACCATCTGATTTTGTTTTTGCTTTGAATTTTAGAATATTAATTTCCATTTAAAATCAGACAAAATTAATGAAGTGTTTGGTGCAAAATAATGATTTGCTACATATTTAAGTTATTCAGAAGACTGTTTTGGGAAGGAAAAAACCATGTTTTTCACATAGTTAAATGTTAAGAGTTTATATCACAAAAAACAATTAAGTACACAGAGAAAAAAAATTCTGGTATAACTACCGTACAGTATAGTAATGACAATTCTGGTAGTTGTATTAAAAACCAAAAACATGCAATATTTAAACCATTCATTTGGTAGATTTTCTTTTCCTATTGTAATTGTTTGCTGGAAATTCTGGTTTTCAAATTTATAGCTCTTACTACTTCAGATTTAGTACAAATTACAAAACTCTAAAGTAAATATAACCAAATAGCTAGTTTTTATACCTTGCCTTAAAGTATCGTGATAAAATTACCAAATTTTGTTTTTCGCTTCAGCACTACAGACTTGTGACAACCCGAGGATGTCTCCATCTGATCCTGTCTGGAGCAATAGATTGCCTTATTGGTTGACTCCCGGATCCCTAATGTGTCCCTCGGAAAAAATCAACTCATCTGGTGGGAGCCATCCTCTCTTTCGTGTGCCATCTATATATATAAAAAAAGCACTAATTAGTACTATTTAATATCCAAATTTTATTACATATTATAAAATCATATTTCATTGTTAATTTTACAAAAATCATTATCATAGCACTTCGGTAAAAATTACCGAGCTTTCTGATGCTCACATAAAGTCAAAAACAAGGTAAATTTTACGATATTGTGGTAATATTGATCAAAATTTTTCTCTTTTAGTGCAATACGGCCGAAATATATAACAGTTTCTTAATATTCAGTAACTGATTCCCTTATTGATCTCACAGTTGGAATATGAACTTATTTTTAGCTAAAGAGCAAATAAATAAGTAATTTTTGAAATTCAAAGATGAATTGAAAATAAATATTTATAGGTGAATAATTGTTACGGTTAACGCTGAAGAAAGGAATGAAATAATGCATTAAATAATTTTGTAGAGCAAAATAAATGAATGAAAATTATTAATAACCTCAAAATCAGAAAGGTCTTAGTAGAGAAGTGACAAATTTGCAAAACATGTGAAAAAGAATAAGAAATAAATTAAGTTAAATGTCAGAAAATAAATAATTCAAATTCAAAGGCTGTCAGAAGATAAAAAATACGGAACAATTTTTAGAGAATGTTACTTCGAACTCACGTAAAAAGATTTCACCGCCACTGGAGTTTGAAGAATGAACCTCCAAATTTTTTAAATAAAGTGATATTTTTGTAAAAAAAGTAAGAAGAACCTAATTAATTTTAATAAATTGAAAGCATTGAAAATACTTAAATTACAAAGATGAATGTATTGATTTTTTTCTGAACTGGATTTTTATTTCCGAAAGTTCAACAGTTTTCAGTTACATTATTTTAAGTAAATTTTTCCTAAACAGTAGTGTAACAAAAAAATTTATGGTTTAAAATTCTTGTCACGCATATCCTAACTATTAAAAACATTTATTATCAGCTAGTAGCTAATTAATTCCAAAGAAGTATCCCTTATTTCCAGTTAGTTTATTAACAAAATCCTAGGCAAAAAAATAATCCGTTCTAAAACTGTGAAATTTATTGGCTATCTAAAAATTAATTGGAAAGTTTTTGATTAAAATACTGTTAGGGATTACCATGCGAGTGATAAAATACCTAAAAGAAACACGAAATATTGAAAGCATTCTTCTCATTTTTAAGTGATGAGAAATATTCAATGTATAAATATAAAATTTTTTACTAACGGATGAACTTATACTGTTGTATGATTATTTGTTCATAAAACGCAATAATAGCTGTTTCTAAACTTTACATAGCGGGTAAATGGTGTTCTTAATTGAAAATGCAAATATAAATTAATGAAATTAAAAAAAAACACACTCGAAAAAAGTATGGTCATAATTACCAGAATGTTTAAAGATTTACCGTGTTTCTGGTTTTAAGAGAGCGCCATAAAGCACTGTAACTTTTACCTAAGTCATTTTGTAATGACTTTTTGTAAAATTAACAGTAAAATTATTATCTTGGTTTTTGGTAATTAATGTAACAAGGCTTTGAATTTTTCGATACCTTAGTGCAGTGTTTCCCAAAGTGTAGTACGCGTACCCCCAGGGGTACGGGAACTGTTTAGCAAGGATACGCGTTCTTATGTGAAATATTTTGCAACAAACGAAAATTTCAAAAAATTTTGTTTAAAAACAAAATTTAAGAAAATTTATGAAAATTTATCATGAAAATTTACGATTACGTATTTTTCTATTGGCCACTTTTTTCAGAGTTAACATTTAATAATTAGTGGTGTCAACAGCCAGTTGTGATTTTTAACTTTTGTGCAATTTTTTATAGTAAAAAATACATTCATTTTTTTAAGTGGTACTCAGCGTTTCAAAAAATTTAGAAAGGGTATACACAAAAGTCATAAGTTTGGGAAGCGCTGCCTTAGTGCATGGCATGAATAACCTTTATTCTGTTAAATTTACTTTCCAGTTTTGTATTTGTTACTAAATGTGTGATAATAAGAAATATAGTTTTAAAAAAACAGAATTTCTGGTAAACAGTTGAGATATGGACGTAAAATTTACCAAATGGGTGGTTTAAATACTGCATATTTTTGTTTTATTACTGAAATTATGCTTGGTTTTTGTAGTAGAAATCTCATTACTATACATGGACTGTAATTTTACCTGTATTTTTCTCTGCGTGCATGATACGTTTTTAACTTATTTAATATATAATTGCTATTATCTTACAAAATTTTATTTTAAAAACAATCAGAAAAAACATGAACCAATTAAAGAAAATCTAATACATTATATTAAACATATTGAACTGAATTTATTTAGTTTTCATAATTCAGTTTTTCTTTTATTTTTTTATTTTGTATTATTTTTTATTTTGATTTTTAAAGAATACGTGCTTTTCCTCTGTGTTTTTAGGAATAGTTTCAGAAAAAACAGCACTACTTTCTCTCGTTAAATTTGAAATTGTAAATATTTTTGTAAATTGAAATATTTCTACGATTGTCTAAAAAGGGATAAAAATAATTTTACATGGAAATTTAAGCATGGAATTCAAAATAACAATAATATTACGATGAAGAAAGTGCTGATGTATTTTCGTTGTTTTGCTCCAATCCAAATAAGATGTTCTGTTAAAACCACCTTTAACATGTATTTTTAGAATCTGTATGTATATAAAAAACCAAAGTGTATAAGCACTAGGAATTGAAAACTAATCTTTTATGAGGATAAAACAAAACCGCTTTCAAAATATGACTAGTTGCAATAGAGGTCAGCTGTTTAATTAAGCATCAAAATAGGTTTAATTGGAGGTTGAAGCTAGGAAGTGTTTTTAATAACCTCCTTTTAGCTTTGGACTGTTTCCCACAGTTAAACCTTTTCAGTTGTTTATTACACTCGCATTCCTGTATCGTGATTTGTCAGATCTTAAAAGTGTTAAGTTTTTCATCTGCGAAATGTATTTTCTTAAGAAATTCTAAATCACTAATTTCAAAACTTGCTTTCTTATATATAAGTAGCAGATGAACCCACTATTTAAAACTAATTCATACCTAAATATTTTTTTCAATTATTTCACAAATAACAATTAAATTAAATACAATGAAATTACTGGTAAATAAGCTAACCCTTTATCGTTGATAGGACAACCAGTGTCCCATTTAAATATATTTTTTCTTGAAGCTCTACTTATGAATAAGCATATATTTTGGTATTTCTTAATTATAAAAAACTGTCTAATAGTTTCCAAAAAAATTTGTTAAGTAATTGGAATATATTTCTACTAAAATATAAAATCTAGAAAAAGCAATTTGCAAAAAGTGGTTCAGTCATATTTCAAAATGTATCAATAATTGATTGTATAAATTAAATAAATTTTAATGATGAATAATTGTTTCTCTTAGATTTAAATACTCTCTCTTAGATTAAAAAAACAGTAAATTTAAAAAATTAGTGTTTGGAAGGGACCCCTGCTTGAAAGATTTTATCTTTAATTAATAAAAAAAAATGACCTCAGTGTTTTATGCTGTATATCTTAATCATACGTTTTTAAAATTTACACTTATTTTTCACTTGTTTTGTCTTAAATTGATATGTTTAATAAAAATTCTGCACCAAAAGATAAACTACGCAAAAGAAATAACACAGTAACAAGTTGAACAAATTTTCTTTCATATCTTAATTTTAAAAATCACTGTTAATTTAGAATTAAAAAATAATCAAATAACTTAAAATATTGAATAACCGTCTTCACTATCAAAATCTTATTTATTGTTCCTTGCACCATTTCTTATTCTTACATTAATTGAAATTATTAACTACTTTTACATACTGCTCTACATTTTTAAATAGCGCAGCGTAGATTTAATATCATTAACAGAATAGGCATTATTTTGTTTGACAACGTAACTAAAAAAGCGTTTTTAAAGCTATTTAATTTCATAATTCTATTATACATTTAATACATTGTTATGCAGAGAGACGCAGATTTATATAAAAGAAAAATTCTTAAGCTCTTCATAACACAAATGCTGGAGCGCGCTTTCATCTATTGTTCTTCTTATTTGTGAGTGTCACTAAAAGTTTTGCAGAGCATACCTTTAATAATCTAAGCCGAGCAATTAAGGAAAGTAATTAAAACATTTAACATGCTGACACACGAGGGAGCGTCTTTATTTCACTATTTCACTTCTCTTTTCCTATTGTAGCAGAAAAATCGTTTTGAGTTTATTTCCGCATCTATTCCTGATTACGCAACAGTTTTATTAAACTACAGGAACGTTTTCACTCACACAAATACTACCTGTTATCCACCAGGAGGCGCTGCCAACGTAACTACAAAATACGCGCTTAGTTCTGAACTTGGCCCAGTGAGAGAACGACAACCGTTTACAGTTTTCGTCCTGTTTCGAAATTCGGTGACCCCCCTCAACTAAGAATGATCCAAGGTTCTTTAAATAAACTTTTTACCACTTCATCTTTTTATAGAAACTTTAATTTTTTTGAATCAACATCACTTAAAGAAAGTGTTTTCAAAGCAGGTGAGTGTTATTATTTTTTTTTATTGTTCAACTATTTCTCGAATTTTTAACCACAATTGTTTTGGAACTAAACCAAGACAAGTCTCCCTTAAAGAAACATATATTGAAATAATTTTATATTTTTCTCCGTATGCATAAATATAAAAAAGTAACCTTCAAAATTAAATAATATTGTAAATGTATACACAATCTAAATAATATTTATGCAAATTAAAAAGGATATACTTACAAATTAAAAATAATATGGCCTTGCAATGTGCATAAAAATGTTTACAGAATTACATAAAAATACTTTGTAAAAGAAAAACTCACTAGTAGAGACTAGATTACTAAGTACTAAAGATATATAATTTTTTAAATTATTTATATTTTATTAACTTTTTTTACCTGTCGTAAAATTTTTATTTATTGAAATTAAGAATTATTTTTTACTTTTAATTAATACATGCATTTTTTAATAATCCCTCTATATATACACAAGAAACAACATAGATAATATACACAATATAAATAGTGTGTATAATATCTATCTACATTATAAATAATATTTATAATATCTAAAAAAAGATATATTTACTAGTAATAATATAGTAATAATAATATAGCGCTTAAAATATAAAATGCACATAAAAAATTACGAAACATAGTATTTTTTTAATTTGTAAAAACATTGTATTTTGCATTTCAATTTGTCCACAAAACATTGTATTTTACATTTTAATTTGTCCGCAAAACATTGTATTTTGCATTTTAATTTGTCCACAAAACATTGTATTTTGCATTTTAATCTGTCCACAAAACATTTTATTTTTAATTTGTAAAAAAAAAAAACTCATTTTGTAAATATGATTAGTAGAGAGTGGATTACTAAATATTAAAGTTATATAAGTTCTTTAAGTATTTATATTTTATTAGCTTTTTTTATTTTTTGTGAAGTTTTTTTAAATTTTTATTTCATTTATACGTAATCTTTTTATAAAAATAAAAAACTATTTTTTACTTTTAATTAATGCATGCATTTTTAAAATCCTTATATATACACAAGAAACAGTATAAATAATATCCACAATATAAATAAATTGTATACTATCTATATACATTGAAAATAATATTTATAAAAACTAAAAGGGACATATTTACAAATAAAAAATAATATGACATGTAAAATATGAAAAGCACATAAAGTAATTACAAAACATAGTATTTTTTAATTTATATAAAAAAAAAGTTCTGTAAATATAATTTTTAGAGACTGGATTATTAAGCATTAAAGTTGTATAAATTTTTATTAGAGTAGTTATATTTTATTAAGTTTTTTTACCTATTGTAAAGTTTCTTTACTTTTTATTACATTTGTATGAAATCTTGTTCAGAAATAATTTTTTTTCACTTTTAACTAATGCATGCATTCTTTTATAATACGCAATTATTATATTTTAGTAATTATTAAATTAATAAATACTGGTTTTGTAAATTATTTTGTACAACAAAACTTATGAGCAGGAATAAATGCGTATTTTTGATTTTTAACCATCTCTAAATTCAAGTAAGAAACACAAACTAGAAAAATTGTTAATTTTTGTTGCTGAAATCATTTTGTAGTTTACATATAAAAAAAACTCCCTAAAATGTCTGTTTTAAACGAAATTTTTAAAATCTTGCTAATTTTTTTATTAAAAAATCATTACTTTTTACGCTACTTTTACGCCCAAAATACGTGATTTAAGGAAATTATATTCAGAAACAATTCCTTGTTTAGAAAAAAAAAGTTTTGTCTCTCAACTATTAGATATTATTTTTAAGAAACTCAACATCAAAGAATTGCAGAATTTTTTCTCTAAAATATAAAACAAGACTAATATATATTAGATAACAATAATCTCTAAAATGCTTATTTGTGAATGCAGTAATTGATATAATAATTTTAAAAAGAATAATTATCTTGCAAAGGAATAATTTCTTTATTACAAAGAGCAATTTTAGCATGATAATCTAGTTTTAAATTTTTTGTTAAACTTAAATTTTAATAATAATGAAAAAATATTTGCTTTAAATGTAATCTTAATTAATTCATTTATGAAGTTTAAAAGAATAATATAAATTTGTAAAAATTTAGACTAGCATTGTAATTCTCAGGAGGAGTTCTGGCAATAATTTTTATATTTTAGAAGAAAAAAGTATTCTGTATTTTAATATTTTATGTGCAAATTCAATTTGTTTTTTCTTTAAATTTAGTGAGGTATAAAATAAGAAATATTTATGTAAATGCAATTTATTTCATTTTTCAATTTTAATGATGTTAAATTTGGAATATGCAATATCATGTACGTAGGTTCTTGATAAAGATTAGTTTGTATTTAAAGTTTTTTACTATGTTCAATGTATAGAAAAAATAACGATGTTTAAAGTTTTCCAAAAATTCTCGATTAATTTCAATTCTAATTATTAGATTATGTTTTATATATGTTAAATTTTTATATTTAGTTTATGATGAAATAATACGGTTAAAAATTATAGTTCTCCTTTAGAATGTATAGATAGATAGACTTAAAGGTTGGGCAGCTCCGAGGAGTAAGACACATCGACCAGAGGTCTATTTTTAATACATGCTCGCACTTGCACTACTCGTTTTTAATACGTAATTTTTAATACGTTATGCAGAGTTCAAATCCTGGTCATGCTGTTTGTTGAATCATCTACCTGTCAGAAAGTCCGGCTCAAATTACGCTATAAAATATCAGATTTTCGTGTGCATTGTCCATACAATCCATTTTACCTAAAAAATCCTTTTTACCGTAAAATATTATACCATAAATTTTACAATAATATTTATTCAATTAGAGAGATTTAGTGATTTTGTGGTAATAATTACTGTAAAAATTATGGCATATTATATTTTTTGTTTGTAACATGTTCCGGTAAAATTGGATTTTACAGTAAAAAGTACTGGCACTGAGAGTGCCAGGACTTTTAACTGTAAAATCCAATTATTACAATGTACTATTTATTACAATGTACCGGTATAGATACCCCAAGTGTTAAATTATTCTTAAGTTGTAGCATTCTTAAGTCTAGTTGATGTTGGGCTCCCAATGAAAGTTTTTTTAGTGTTTATAAATATTACTGTATTTCAAATTGACACAATTAAAACTAATTATTTTTTTAGATGAAAGTAATTTTCTCTCAACTATGTATAAAGGTGTTATTCAAGTCTTTAACTTAAAGAAAAGATTAATATTTTAAGTTATGGTTAATATGTTGTAAGCAATCGAAATTCAAACAAAAATTTAGCAAAAAATTTTGTAAAATTTAGAAAAATGCTTAATTATTATCCATTTAAAACTAGGAATATGTACTATATTTCTAGCATTAGAATTTCCACAGTAAAAATGCTTAAACCATACAGTTAAAAGCTACAGTTCTCGTTCTTTATATCTAATACAAAGCTCGATAAAATCCAGGTGACAGGCTATTAGACTCTAATACTACTTCCTGCAATTACTGGTATAAAATACCACCACACTGTTAGAAGTTATATTCTAAAATTTCGGTGAAATTACCGGCGGTTGTCAGTTTATTGAATGAACAGTAAAGTTTACGGCAAGGAACATTTTTTTCACTTTTACGTTTTTGAAATCATTTACAACTAGTGTGGTTAAAAACAATGAATATTAAACTAAAAGGTTTACTAACCAATCACAACTAGCATCGTTTCAAAACAGTAAAAAAGAAATATTACCGGCCATGGTGCGGTCATCTTTGTGTCAATATCGTATTCTAATAGTCCAGCATGCATCGCGCTAGAAACTATTCTTGTAAAGAAGGGAATGGAGAAAATACTGCGGTATTGACGCTGGAATTCGAAACCCCATTTTGTTGATCACGAGATTGACAGATTAACCCTCTCGGCTATAATATGTACATATTTGCAAGGAACTAAGTGGCTTCATTAGAGCAGCCTAGTTCATCCGATAAAATTCTGGTTGTTAAACGTAATCGGTAAAAGCAGTTAATAAACAGTTTTTTCACAGTTACCATCTTATTGATGATTATTAGAATTTTTGTTTTGTTTGAATATGGTAAAATAACAATTAAAGGAATAGTCATTTGACCATTTTTTCCTAGGAATTTCCAACAGTGCAACGTAAGTTAATGTCCTATGGGTGTCAGAAAACCATTGAAATTATTTTTTTAAATAATTTTCGTATACCTATCTATCTCAAAAGAACTTAATTATTATGAAAATATTAAATATTATTAAGTTTCTCGTAATATTTAACAGTGGAGTTTTCTCGCTTTTTATTTATTTTAAAAATACAAGCTCGAGCAGATAATTCTAAAAACATTTTTAATTCACCTGTTAAATAGATGATTGAAGTCTTTCAAAGAATCTATATGATATTCATGTTTTTTTTATATGAAACCTTCAATAAAAATTGAATTTACTTCATTATAAAAATCCTTGTTATCAAATAACTATATATTAGCTGAAGGAGAAGTTCATATGGTATCATGTCAATAAAAAAAAACCTGACATTCTTCTCTCTCACAAAGTCAAGATTAAGTTAAAAATCAATATCTAATATAGCAAAATTAATATATAATAGAAAATATAGCAATATGCAAGTGAATAAACAGAATGTACCTTTGAAAATATTGTTCCATTACTAAAAACCAATCTAAGTTACTTGGCACATGACTTTGATTCTGTTATAAATTAAATAATAAAAATATGTTAGATCAATAGATTGCTTTTAAAATATATATTTTATCAGCATCGCGATATGTTTTGTTACGCTCGGTTAGTGCATATATTTATCAAATGGATTTGTAGCTATTCATTAGGAAATATTTTTGAAATTTTTTTGAAATTTAAAAATTAAAAAAAGAATTTACGAATGAGAAACACATTTAAGTTAACACATTTTACACAGGCAATGGTTTGAAAACAGGAATTAGTAAAGGAATTTTACTCAAAAAACAAATATTTAATCAATTAA